ACTTTGACTCTTGACGCAAATCTCAACACAAACTTGAAACTTTATATTTTTGTACTTTAATCTGTAAATAAATAAAACAGAACAAGTAAAAACTAAAAAATTTTTTGAAGACAATATTTTCAAAGTTATCTTTACATTATTGAAAATTGAAAAAAAAAAAATTCAGAGATAATAAGTGGGGCATGGCCCCAGTACCCCGGGCCATGGAGCCTCTAGTCATCTGCCCTGGAAACAATTTTTCATCAGGACTACACAAATGATGAAAGTTTAACGGAAAGTTTTAATGGAAATCAAAATGCAGATCAAAATCTATTTTTTTGAAAGATCAATTAATATTGAATAATGTGTAATATATATTTTTTTGATATCATCAAGACCACATGGGTTTCTTGAGCATTAAAAACAGGTATATAAAAAATTGCCCAAATTCATATAAATTGATAATTACAGCTAGTTAACAAAATCTTTTACACTTCTGATCAACTCATTAGATTCACCATCCCCAAAAAAAACCAGTTACAAATTTTTAAGTAAAAAAATCAAATATTTTAAAAGTTATGTGATTTGAAACCTCCAAATAAACATTGCAATTCTGAGGGGACAATAGGGGTCTAGCCAATATCTGCTAAAAGTAAATGATCATATTTCAGGATTTTCTTGGAGCTAGAGGCTAATATTTTCAAGTAATTATTATTTTACTAAGGACTCTAAACTGGATAAAAACCAGCAAAATCTGAGATGTATGGTGATATGACCTGGGTCATTTGAAATGGATTTACCCAAAAGTCTTTGAAGATTGCGTCATGGAAGTAAATATAGTTCAAACACTAAATTATTATATTACAATAACACAAATTGGCAGATGAAAGATTATTACAGTGTCTCAGAAATTTGGCCCCTAAGTTGATGACGTTTCTTTGAAGAATTAATTTAACTTTCACAAGCGACGTTTCGCACTTTTCATTTGTGTAATCAATGTCTAATGGAAAATCATTCCAAATATCGAATGTCTTTCCAAGCACTCAAGGCAATTACCAGTTAATGCAAATTTTAACTTCGATCTATCATCAACATTTCTTCTGAAAGAGAACCATGGCTTGGCCCAGTGATCTATAATAAAATTGCACACCTTTATTATTGGTTGTTTTTTGTCTAATTCCAAAGCATATATTTCAAGCAACATACAGCTCTTGAATTCTACTGTGCATTTGAAATAGGCCTGCGATTTATTTTTCTAAACCAGGGCGGTTTAGAAAAATGTATTGCAGGTAAATTCATTGTGTCTTGATAAGACTTTTATCCTTTACATAACAAACCCAGCTCCATATAATCATTCCAAACACATTTTTTACTTTTTCAAAGATATAACCAAAGATTTAGACTTGCTCGAAATGCAAGTGCTATAATAATGTTGTTTGTCAATGTTCTTACCATCAAAATGTATGCATCATGTTTCTTCAAAAGAGCCAATAAGACTGAATCAAGCATAATTCATGCACAAGTGTTGTAGATGCTTTGAGGACTGCGGATCTGCAAATCAATGTCTCACCAACTGCATTTAGTACAGCTTCTGCATTCTTTGCCGTACAACTTATTGGATACCCTTAATTTTAAGATATGTTAGCTACCATTTTACTGTGGAGCTTTGCACATTTCAATGGGATTGTGTAATCATCACTTGTAGTATTATTTTCTGAACTTTCGCTACTAGAATTTTCTGTATCATCAAACAATTGAATTTAATTTATATCAAGTTCTTTTTTTTTAGATGGTTTCGCGGATGTATTGTAATAGGCTCTGTCACAATACTGTACTGACCTTTGAACACATTGGAAGATTTCTGAAGTCCATAAAAGAGTTTGTCTTCCAAATTTTTAAATTTGGCATTTTTGGGCAATAAATCAAATAATTTAACCCAGCTATTTATAATACTTGTCTTCTTATTTGTACTTTGTGTTGATTTGATAATAAACTTATAATTTTGAATAGCAGAATTTCTTCAATAACATCACTTGATCTAAATTATTCTTTGATATCTAAAATAGTTTATATTTAAATATATACAATATATAATAGTTAAACAATATGAGTTATTTAAGCAAATTTTCAAACTTTTAACGATTTTTTAAAATGATATATATATATATATATATATATATATATATATATATATATATATATATATATATATATATATATATATATATATATATATAAATATATAAATATATATATATATATAAATATATAAATATATATTATATATATGTATATATATATATATATATATATATATATGTATATATATATATATATGTATATGTATATATGTATATATGTATATATATATATATATATATATATATATATATATATATATATATATATATAGAGAGAGAGAGAGAGAGAGAGAGAGAGAGAGAGAGAGAGAGAAATCTTATTCACTCTTTTTAAATATACATAAACGTTTTAAGACCAAACTGATTACTATAAAACTAACTTTTCAATAATTTCATTCAGTATGAGATTAGCATGTTTACTGTCAACATTTTTTAAATGGGATACTTTGTTTACTTGATTCACAGCCATTTCTTCATCTTTATTTTTATTAGACATTTGTTGACTCTAAAATTATATATTAAATATTTTATTCTATATTAAATATAATAATACTTGATTTTTTACAACAAATAACAAAAATTATAAAATAGACAATAAATTTAAAAAAAAACAAAGGATAGGATTGGATAATCTGAACAGGTTATTCTACTTCTGGCTTTGAGTTGTAAAAATAAATAAGAAAGCTCCTTTTTTTTAAATATATGAATCTAAAATTTCTAAAGTGGTTGATGGAATCTAATGATGTCTACCACTCTAACTGGAATAATGAAATTCTAAATAAAGTTTCGTTACTTCTACCTTTAAATGCTGGTAAACATGGGAAAATCATAATGTAGGCTGTTACTTTAGCTCAAATACTTTATTAGTGAAAATTTTATTAACAAAAGTACTTTTTAAAGAAAATTTTAAATGAATAAAAAGCAGCAAAAAAAAAAAACAATACAAAATTATATTGAAAAAAAATTGGGTTAAAAAAAATTAGGTCATAAAAAACTGCATTTTAAAAAAACTTTGAAAAATAAAAGTATAGAATTAATTTTGAAATAGAAACCAAAATAAAAATTTGTTTTACTACAATAAAAAAGTATTTTTAAAATGTCCTTCTGCAAAAGTAAATAGTTTTTTCAGCTTTTTTTTACCTTAAATTGCCATCTTTTTAAGTTCTCTAGCCATGTTTTTTTTTAGGAATGGTTGTTTGACTTTTTGCTATTAGGAACTTACACAATATTTTTGCTATTAGGAACTTACATAATATTTTTCTTGAATTTTCATTGATTTTTTTTTCTTTTTCGCTTGATCTAATTAAAAAATAAAAATATTATCATTAGGTTTGCAGATGAGCTTAAGGCTTCTCACATAGCAGATCTTGCTGTTTGTAATCTTGGAGATTAAGGGTTTTGTTGCTGTGATTGATTGAGAAATCAATAACTGATATCAGTGGTTGATCGGATTACCAATATACCAGGAAAATTTTCTATAGGCTGGTGTCAAAACATAAATTAAATATTTTTTTGTCAACAACATTTAAAAATCATTCTTTTGACAACAACAGCGCTGCCAGAATAATTGTAAACAAGTGGTTTAGATTACATGAAAGCTAATCACATGGTAGAAACAACTTTTGAGTCACTGAAAGAAATGTCATGTGATTTTGAATCTCTGATGTAAAAGTTACTAGAAGATACAGACTTGGATCTAATAATAAAATAATAATTACCAGTATAAAGACAATGAAAGATAAATAAATTTCATGATGAATTATTGAAAGATAAGAATGCAAAAAATATTTTAAAAAATTTAAAGCTTAAAATATTATTATGGATCAATCAGTGAAAAGTAATGAAACAAGACTTTTTTAAACATGATAAACTTTATAAAGCTATGTCTTTGATCCCAGAAATTTTTAATGAGTTAAAAATACAAATCTGGATAAACCATGTTTCTATATCAATGAGTTTGTGTTAAAAAAGAAGTGAGCATTATGGCAGACCTGAACAACTAAACCTGAATTGTTTAGCTTTCTAAAAAATGGAAATCATTTTTTTTTAATGATTTCAATAAATGCTCTAAGTTTAAACCAAACTGAGTTTAAATTTAAATGCTCTAAATTTAAACCAAACTGAGTTTAAATTTAGAGCATTTATTCATATGTATTCTGAAAAAGAAATTCTTTATTTATATAGTTGGCAAAAATATAAAGTGCAAAAATATGCAACTGATAATTTGCTTAAAGTATTTTTGTATACTTAAGAACTTAAGTTTATAATGCATATATATATATATATATATATATATATATATATATATATATATATATATATATATATATATATATATATATATATATATATATATATATATATATATATATATATATATATATATATATATATATATATATATCCGAGTTATAGAGTTGCAAGAGAGTTGTAACCACAAAAGTAGCCTCCTTGACTGTAGTTGCCTTATCAGCCTTGGGGATATGAATAATTCAAAAAATATATATATATAAAATGTATGTATATATACATATATATATAATATATATATATATATATATATGTATATATTTACATATATATGTATATATTAAATGCAGTAATGTAGTGTAGTGGTAGAGCGCTCACCTCATAAGCGAGAAGTTCTGAGTTTGATCCTCACCATGCCACTGGTAGTACCAAGCATATATATAAGCACTATATATATATACATATATATATAATATATATTTATATATATATAATATACATGTGTGTATAAAATATATATATATATATATATATATATATATATATATATATATATATATATATATATATATATATACATATGTATATATATGTATATATATATATATATAGTAGTAGTAGTATATATTT